CTCTTAGCAGTATTTGTCTGATAAGGGTGAGATTTTACTTGCCTTGGTCTGAACACTACTTATCCTGTTTGATTTGCAGAAAAGCAATGGCTGCTAATTGTTCTTCGATCTGAAAGGAAGAATTACAGATTTTACCTTGTGACATCACCATGTGTTTCAAATTGCTTGTCCTCTACTTTCGCTGAAAGTCTAGCACTACCTTTTGTACTGGCTAGACACTGAGATCCTGCATATCCCCCTCCCTTCCTTCCTTGGCATGACAGAAATCCTATCTTTAAAAAAAGGAAATTTACCCACATATGCTTTATAATAAATGGACTCAGAAAGGTGAACTGGCCGGGGCCAGGCTACCTAGATCATTCTCTTCCTTCTTTTTATCATTGTCCTTCTTTTCATCCTTTTTGTTCTTTTTACTTTGATAGTCAAGTATTATTTTTCAACTGCTATATAATACTTGCTATATAATACTTATGTGAATGTTGCGAGCCAGCCACAGCAGAATGGGTGTCAGGGCTTCCTGAAGGATGGGACTGCGTCAGCTCCATTGCAGAATGATGGGGAGGGGGAGTGAGGAGATGCAGACACCTGATCAGGGTGCAGACATCATCCTGCTGAGGGTCTCAGCAGCTCTTTATTTATGCATTTCAAGAAAACCTTGGGAGTGCATAAGCATATGCATTAAGGCAGGAAGACAACAATTACCACATCTTTCTCATATGAGGCAGGGAAACCACTCATGGCCTCTACTGTAACACACCAGGAGCCGTCAGGCTTCTTGGCCTTCCCTGGCTGTAGTCTCGGCTACAAGCCACACACCACATCCACCCCCAGGATGCACTCACTCTGGGATTGGCGATTCTATTCTACTGTTGGGGGTAATCGCCAACCCTCACGGTTTCTGTCTGAGGTCGCTCCAACACTCGGCTTTCATAGCCACCAATGTAACTCACAGACCCCTGCACTCAGGCCAGCCCACTGCACAAGCGCATGGATCAGGGATCCAAACTCTACATGCGGCCTATCTTGGGCCTCTCTTCAGCTTGGGCTCCACCCCAAGCCACGTTCCCCACCCTTCCCCCAAGAACGGGTTCCTCAGCAATTCACCCTCAGGCAAGAACGAGCAGTGCATCATCCACAGGTGATTTTAAGAGACTCACTTGTCTTCAGCATACTCAGGCTGCTTAACAGCCGCTCAGGGCTTTTCAACTTAGCACCAGCTTTTGCTTCTCAAATTTGGCTTTTTTCCTCTGCCTAGCTGCTGGGCATACACAGGCTGCTTTTGGCCATTGACACCCACTGGCCACCCCCAGATTCCCAAAAAAAAATAACATGCCAAGGTCCTCCGCCTTCTGCCGGGATTGTCAGTCCAAGTCCATTAGTCCCAAGTTCATAGGCTTCTTCCTTGTGTCAGCACTGGTGAGCTCTGAATCATGATCCTCTTTCTTTCTCCAATGATTCTGCTGCCTCAGTGGCCTTGGGCTGGTCCTCTCGGGTGTCTCCTGCAGGTGAGGTCTTGTCCCGCAGCTCCCGGATCTTGTCCATCTCCTGTGCCACCATGATGCTTCTAGCATTGTCACAAGCAGTCTGTTGCTCTTTAGTCCCTCCAGGTCTTCAGAGTTCCATACCCGTCTATATGGATATCTTGCTGACTTATGCCAATTGTATCTGGATCGGCACCATGTTGTAGGAGAAAACATACATATTCCTCCTCCTGGCTTTGCATATCGTCTTCAGTATGAATGTATGCATGCATACATATGAGAGATGATGTAGATAATAAAATGTTTTGTGGCTTCAGAAATGCAAAGTAGGGCATCCCCTGTGGCAGAGCAGTTGAGCCCTGGGGTGGGAAGCTGGCACAGCCTCTGTAGCACTGGTTCCATCCCTGGCCGCCTGGCAAGAGTCTCACATGTCTCCCCGACCTCTCCAGTCACCCCTTGATCCCCTCAGCACTGTACTTTGTCAATCTGCGTGTTGTACTCTCCACTCTGACTCTGGTGGTGAATTCTCTCACCCACCTCCCGTGCTTCTGACTGTACCAATGCTTGTATAAAAAACAAACATAAAAAGCAGTTCATATATTTTGTGAATAATGTTACTGGGTCTATACCTTGTTTCGTGCTTCAATATTTGCTTTGTGTAAAAGTAGCTTAGTTTTTATCCACTGATTCTCATTATCCACTGCATAGTGAGAGGCAGAGTTGCCACTTATATCCAAAGTATCTGGATAGGCACCATGTTCTAGGAGAAAACATACATATTCCTCCTTCTGGCTTTGTGCATTGTCTTCAGTATGAATGTATGCATGCAGTCATATGAGAGAGATGCAGATAATCAAATGTTTGTGGCTTAAGAAATGCAGTTTGGGCCTCCCTGGTGGCACAGCATTTGAGTACTGGGTTGCAAAGCTGCCCGCAAACTCTGCATCGCAGGTTCCATTCCCGGCGTATGGGAGAGGGTCCCACATGGCACACAGACCTCTCCTTCACCAGCTGCTCCCCTCAGTAGTGTATTGTGTGAGTCAGCCTGTTTGTTCTCCACTCTGATGCTAGTGAATTCTCTCACCCTCCATGCTTTTGACTGTACCAGTGCTTATTATATATATATATATATATATATAATAAAATATATATATATAAAGCAGTTCAATATTTGTGAATAATGTTACTGGGGTCCTTACTTGTTTCGTGCTTCAATATTTGCTTTGTGTAAAAGCAGCTTAGATGTTATCAACTTACTCTCGTTATCAACTTCATAGTGGGGACCAGAGTTGCCACTGATGTCCTAAATATCTGAATTGGCACCATGTTCTAGCAGAAAACATACATATTCCTCCTTCTGGCTTTGTGTATAGTCTTCACGATGAATGTATGCATGCATACAAATAAAAGAGATGTGTAGAAATAAAATGTTTTGTGGCAAAAGAAATGCAATTCAGGACCTCCCCGTTGGTACAGTAGTTGAGTGCTGTGGTTCAAAGCTGGCACAAACTCTGGAGCGCTGGTTCAATCCCCAGCCTCCAAGCGAGGGTCCCACATGTCGCCAGACCTCTCCTGCAGCCCGCTGCTCCCCACTGCAGTGTAATTTGTCAGTCTGCCTGTTCAGCTCTCTGCTCTGGCTCTGGTGAATTCTCTCACCCTCCCGTGCTTCTGACTGTACACAGTGCTTATATAAAAAAAAAAAATGCGGGTCATATATTTGTAAATAGTGTTACTTGGTCTATACCTTGTTTTGTGTTTCCATATTCGTTTTGTGTAAAAGTAGCTTAGTTATTATCAACTGATTTCGTTATCAACTGCATAGTGGGGCACAGAGTTGCCACTGATGTCCAAAATATCTGGATTTGACACCATGTTGTAGCAGAAAAACGTACATATTCCTCCTTCTGGCTTTGTGTATTGTCTTCACTATGAATGTATGGATGCATATATATTAGAGAGATGTAGATAATAAAATGTTTTGTGGCTTAAGAAATGCAATTGTGGGCCTCCCCGGTGGCACAACAGTTGAGCGTGGGGTGCGAAGCTGGCACAGCCTCTGGAGCACCTGTCCGATCCCTGGCCGCTGTGGGAGGTCCCACATGGTGCACAGACCTTTCTTGCCGCTAGCTGCTCCCCTCGGCAGTTGTTTTTGTCAGTCTGCCATTCTGCTGTCTGCTCTGGCCCTGGTGAATTCTCTCACCCTCCTGCGCTTCTGATTGTACTCCATGCTTCTATAAAAAAAAAAATGCAGTTCATATATTTTGTATATTATGTTACTTGGTCTATACCTTGTTTCATGCTTCAATATCTACTTTGTGTAGAAGCAGCTTGTTATTATCGACTGATTCACTTTATCAACTGCATAGTGGAGCGCAGCAGATTTGCCACTGATGTCAAAATATCTGGATTGGCACTTAGTCTAGCAGAAAATGAGGCAGTTAATGTACAGAGAAACTTTCAAATTCTTA